GATGCCTGCAGCTGGCCCACCACGCGCTGAGCTTCCAGGCACTCTGACAGCCACCTTGCGTGGCAGGAAGGAGAGCCGAAGCAGCCAGGTGAGTGACAGGCCTCCTTGGTGTGAGGACAGCAGTGCAGTCCAAGAAAGCACCGAGAAGGTGTGCACCCAACAAGGAGACGTGTCAAGGGCAGAGAGATAGCACCCATGGCACAAAAGACACCAGTGCCCAAAGGACTTCTGGTGCGCAGCCCATAGACACTTACAGGCGGTACCAGCGGCACTGCAACAATGCAGGGAACAGGCCGCCCCCTCAGCTATACAGCAACAGGGGGCCGGGGCCTTCCCAATGGCACAACGGTGGTGTGGGGCGAAGGCAGGAGTGCCAGACAGCCAGCCATGTGGAGGAGAGGTATGCCTATCATCCAGAACACAGCGTGGGACCCAGCCGTGGCCATAAACCAGGCAGCAGTGTCGAACCCATGCATGAAAATCAACCGGAGAGTGGCATGGGACCTCGACGTGTGACTGGACGACCTACAGTCTTTTCCAACCTTAATGATCCTATGATTCTATGATTTTATAATATAGTTCAGATCCAGCTACAAACCTTTCCTTACTGAAATTATTAGTATTTTCATTTTTAAGTCATATCATGCAAGAACTTTAATGAAAGTGTTTAGCAAAGAACATTTTCTCATTTTCGTATTTGATTTCTTGATTATTCAATCTGTCATCTGAAATAAGTTCTTCTTAGCATTTAGTAAAAATGAAGGCTCTATAAGGAGTATTTCATCACCACTCCAATGTGAATGGAATAAGAAAAAAAAAAAGTTAACTCTCACAGAGTATATGGAGTGCTACAATTGTAAAGTACAATAAAGCTGTGAGTTTTTGTGAGCAGGTAGGAGTAGGCTACACTAAGGAAGTTTAATTTTGAATGTCCATAAAAGTAGTTTGTTGGGTAAAAAAAGTAGATTTTTCACAAACACTTTTTCTAGTAGATTATGAAAGCACATCTTTCTTCTAGAACTTACTTAAAGTGTAACTGTATTTGGAGTATGAGGAACTACATTGTGTTAGTTAAAAACAATTCTCATAGTTACATTCAGAAAGAAAAATGGTTCTGTCCACTGCTATAAGAGGATACCCTGTTGTTAGCTCCCCTGTTGTTAGATCCCCTGTTGAAAGTAATTATTGAAGCAGTACATATATTAATACATATATTAATAACACTAATAATTTTTAATATATATATTAATTACACACCTTTTTAAGCACAGGGAAAGGTTTTCTCCAACCTAAATAAGGACACCTTATCTTCTCTGTATCCTAGTCTATTGTTTCCTTATTTATGGTGTGCAGCGACACTGGTTCAGACCTTCTATATTGATGCAAGAATTCCTTCCTTTTCCAGTTTTTTTTTTTTTTTTTTTTTATCTGTCTTCCTTTCTGACAAATTATGATGGTCATCCTACATCTTGTGACTAGCCAAGGAAGCTCCAACCCTCTTTACAGCCCTGGTAAAACTGTATTCACAGGGTGACAGAAATAGCAGTGTATACGGTTGTTTCACAAATGGTACTGAGAATCCAAAATAGCAATGCAAGGCAGCAGTGACATCAATGTGTATAAATACCTGAAGGGAGGGTGCAAAGAGGACAGAGCTAGGCTCTTTCTAGTGGTACTCTGTGACAGAACAAGAGGCAGTGGGCGCTAACTGGAACATAGGATGTTTACTCTGAACACCAGGCAACACTTCTGTACTGTGCAGGTGATGGAGCACTAGCACAGGCTGCCCAAAGAGCTTGTGGAGTCTTGTAGATCTTCAGAAGCCACCAGGACATGGGCAGTCTGCTCTAGGTGTCCCTGCTTGGGCAGAGTGTTGGACCAGGTAACCTCCAGAAGTCTCCAGAGAACCTGGCTAAACAACCATCATCTCTTCATCCATTAGTCTATCTATTACAATCCCTGTAAAGGCATATTAGTACAAAACTAGGAGTGTAAGACATTGAAAATTCCCAGCTCTGATGGAAACTTAGTAATGTGGATTTAAGCAGAGAATATAGTTTCCATGTTCCCACTTTCCCCCTCTATGAAAAGGTGATAATGTATTTCTTCTCCCTCCTAAATTATACACACATTCACCATTACATATCCTCAAGAACCCCATCTGGTCTATAATATGCTAGTGTTCACAATTAAGTTAATTGGAAACGCAAGGTATCTTTTAAATAAATGAACATCACTTACCACAGGTTTATCTTTGTAAACAGTTTATTATTTTGCTGCATAAACTGAGATGCAATTTCTTTCCGTTGACATACTCTTTGCTGAATGGATAAAGTGTGACTCTCACAGAGCAAAGGAATGATAGACCCTCTCTCTGACACACTAAATGTTTGCTCACATATTTCAGGCAAAATGCAATGAAGAAAACCTCTAGGGGAGTTAGGGGTGGGAGATGTCCGTGTCAATATGTTGTAAAGCATAGAGATTATGGAGAAGAAAAGTTCTTTCTAGACCAATTATGACCAAAACAGCATTCTAAAACTAGGTCTAAGAAGCAGGGAAGGGAAAAGAAAAGGGAAAGAAATGAAGCAGAATAGGAGAGATGTATGAGTAGTAGAATTCTGAACGAAGAGAATGGAAAGAGTAAGTAAAATAATTTGATCCAATCTGAATTTGCTGTCATGTTTCTGTACTTGAAGCATGGAACACTGAAGAGTCAACAAGATACTGAACCACTATTAAAAATTCTGCTTAGGCTTCCAAAAATGTTTAGACCTTAGTGGTTGTTCCATCCCCAACTTTTCCCCTCTCCAGTTACCAATTTGAAAGTTACACTCTGAAGCCAGGACAGCAAAGAACAGAATTGTTCAGAATGGCTTTTTTTTAAGAATACAAATAACACGGCTACTTAAAGGAAATCAAAAACACTGTGTTGACCCTAAGCTGGGACTTTTACACCCTTCCACTGACAGCCTTGTACTTGGCTAAATAAAAGAGAAATAAAATGTCTAAAAGTAAAGCACACATTTATTTTTAGCATGCTTTTTCACTACCTGCTTGAAATAGTCACTTGTCTCCCATCTTGTACTTGGACTGAAAGTTCCCCATAGCAGGGACCATTTTCATTCCCCGTTTAGTACAATGGAGTGTTCTCCACAGTGGTTGTAGCAGTCAAGAGCTACAGTATAAAGGTATTTAGAACTCATCATTATAATGGCACTCATTCTCAGAACTGTTATTAAGTGTTAGTAGATGCTACTTACCCCATGCTATTTGGTAAAAAGCCTTTACTGCAAGGTCTCATGCAAGCCCTGGCACTGCATAGCAAGGTTCCACTTCCAAGAAAGACGTATGAAAAAAAGGAAGGAGTTGATTAACTTTCCATCAGGTTGACATTAATCCACAAAGAATCTACTCCCACCAATATGACTCCAGATGTCAGCCTGGAAATGTTGAAAAGCTTCAAGTCTCAGCCCAGTGTTAGGCTGAAACTTGGCAGCTCCAGAGGGAAATCAGGATATGGCCAGATGGGAAGAGAGGTGAGCCAGAGCCAAGAGTCCAGAGAAGGGGAATCTGGCAGACAGGAAACAAAACCTTGGTTTATCTACATAGAAACCATCCTGTAATATTTCCATCTGTCTTCCTCACTATTTTGTAATTTTTCCACATTAATCATTCCACCCAGAACAGGGCAATATTTTACCCCAGAGCTGAAGTCTAGTGTTCAGTGATCCAGTGGAGAATCAAATGGAAAGCTACTTTAGCTTAGCAAAAGTACATGTAGAATGTACTTAGCAAAAAGTACATGTAGAATGATAACAGTTTAATTCAATTGTTGCTACCTTGTAAAAGAGAGAGAAAGAAAAAGAAGGAAAAAAAATCCAACAATCTTGATGTTTACCTCTGCACTCTAATGTTCTGTTACTCATTTTGCATATTTCATATTGCTCCCAAATTTTTTTCTGCAGTGAGCTTACAAGACTTCTCCAAGTCACAATCCAGTATTGGTTCACCCTTGGCTACTCTACCTGGACAGTACACATCACGTTTTTTACCACTTTGGTTCACAACCAAACACTCATAAAACACTACGTACCCATTAAAGGACCAGTATGGTTCATGTATGATTCAATCACAGCTCATAAAAGTCCTTTGGAATGAACATAGGGAAAAAATAAAATAAATAAATAAATAAATAAATAAAAACACTTATATTTCAAAACCATCATGCCCCATGCTCCATGAAGGGGCTTAAGTGGTCCTAGAAAAAATCTGCAATGTAGGTACAATCTGTTCTGATTTCCCCTTTTTATCAGATGCAACTAGTGCAGAAACATCAGTTAAGTTTATGTTACCAATTGTCATCTGGAGATCTGGAGCAGCCTTCCCCTCCACTGATTGATACAGAGGGAGTTTAAGGAGACCAGGCTCCTGACTTAATCATCTAAATTAATTCCCTAAAGATGAACATTGTGAGTACTTCCTGTGTGTGACTAATCTCATGGCATTTTTTCCAATGGAAAAGAACACTAGTAATTCAGACAGGTTTTTGCACTAGGATGCATCCAGAAAATTACCTGACGATGAAGTAGAATTACGGTGTCTTTTCTTTATATAGGGCGCTCTTAATTATAAGCTTTATACAAGATTCTCCACTGTAAAATTTTAGTTGTGTTCAGGAAAATACATATTTCATATATATACATATATATACACATATATAAAAATATATATAATATATACAATATATATAATATATATAGTATATATAATTAATATATATTATATATATAATATGTATAATATGTATAATATATATAATATATATTTATATATTTGGTTGCCAAAGACAGTATTATTGTTGTACCTGGCACATGGCAAGCCAAAGATCTTAAAGCATGTTTCAGGCTACAATGAGAACTACCCCTAATTCTCTTGAATCACAAACATGCTGCTTGGTTATAGAGTCTCATTTCTCTCTGAAGAGCAAAACCTATATGAAATGCAGAACAGATAATATATGCTTTTCTCTCTATCAAAAGATTCATGGGAGAATATGGACAGCTTTTAACACTGCTTTTAGAATGAACAACAAACTTCCTGGTAAATTTAAAATTTTTAAGCACCAGTTCTTTGCTTACCCAAGCTTATATTAGGAGAATGTCTAGCATATTTTAACAGTCACTTTTGCAGTTCTGAAAATATTTCCAAAGAACAGATTTTTATTTTTTTTTCTTCAAAAAGCTTCTGCATCCTGTGGAATGCTGCTAATTCTTTTAGTAGTGATTAGGCAAGCAAGTAGTTACATTAAGTTAGCAGAGCTGGAAAAAAGAAGCAAAACAAGTTCACTGAATATAACAGCATGTATAGTTTACACTTCACCCTAGAGAGATCTGTCAGCGTACACACTTTGCAAGTGTCACTGTTAGACCAAAACATTATGATCAGTTGTCTCAAGAGTAGTGGTGAAGAGAATTTCTGGGAACAGAGAGCATAAGAAAGACAAAGCGCACTGCAAGGCACTGCAGGAATCACAAAATCACAGAATGGCCGAGGTTGGAAGGGACCACAAGAGAATTAAGGCACAACAGAATCACAGGAACATGAGATTTTGGAAAGACTGGAATTTGGTAGGCAGACATCAGAAGAAGAATGAAGAATAGATCTACAGAGCTTGATGAAAAGGCAAGAATAAAACTCTGAAACAAAAACTGAAGGGAATGGGGGCATTTCAGAAATGTGCAAGTATTCAGAAACAGATGGTCCTTGAGAAGAAAGACAAGACTAGGAAAAAAAAAAAATAGGATGAGCAGATGTTATCAATGCTTCATGTGAATGACTGGTAGGACTAAATTCTACCCCAAAACTGGGATGATGGGAGAAATTACATCATCACCAGGAAAGGTATGCGTCATTACCAGAATACACTCACATGTCTAGAGTTTTACTTGGATAACCAGAACCAAAGACAAATTTGGAAGTCAGATGGAATGCAGAGGAGTCAAAATAAATGAAGCATAACCAGCCATACTGAAGCAGATGGTTTGAGATGCTGCTGGACAGACTTGACTCCTGCCTCAATGTCACTGAGAGATTAGTGCCATGGGGATGCAGAAAGTGACTAATTAGAACACTTCTCTGCAAGTTCCTTGAGTTTTTGACCTTTCGTGATCCTTCATTTGCAGTGAGAACAGTAAGACTTAAGCACATGGTTGGGATTTAGTATGAGCAGGTTTCTAGAAAAGGGGACATTTTATCTGCATTTCAAATTTACACAATGAAATCTTAATTCTGCCAGGGACTAAACAGAATTCCCTCTTCTTTATTTTATTTTTCAAGGTCCTTCTTTTCTCCTCTTTTTCCTTTCCAAAGGCCCAAATATTTTCAAAGCTTTATAAATTGATTCAGCACTGAATTAGCTACTATTCAATGTTCACCTGTGAACTGACATCCAATGCTCTTGAAGTGACAAACACAAGTGGAGCTGTCAGAAACTGTCATGCCTGGAACTCCCCTACTCTTTTTAAGCTCAACGAGCTGTACTATCCAAAAGGAATTACTGAGTGAACTCCCGGACCTCCATTCATTACCTTCTTTCTGACCATGAAGAACAGTATGTGAAGCATATGCAGTACTTTAGACCAAAAACTTCCATAAAAAAAAAAAAAAAAAAAAAACATGAGTAGAATCAGCCTCCATTGTCTGGTTTCAGTTCAGGTCACAACCATAAGCATGGTAACATGGTTGCTCTAATTTCAGTTCTCTGTGACAAGGCTGTTACCTGTGCACTGAGGCTTCAGTTAGTTAAAGTGGAAAGTATCATTTATTCTTCCAGAAAATATCTGGATTAGTTAGTCCCTTAAACTAACACACTTCTCACATTAATCCTTTGTCAATTAAGGAAACATGTCAATATGACTCCAAAAGGTACACAACAATACTTTCCCACACATACTAGATTTTTTTCACAACCTGTGTTCATTCTTATTTAATTTAAAACCTAATTAGAGGGCCAGAATTGCTACAGCCCTTGGGAAATAAGAGTTACAGGCACTGGCTGGATTTTTTTAGGATATAACTAGATTCAAACTAATTCAGGGAGTAGCAAAATCCGTATTTTAAAAATAATTTCAGCCCATCGCACCTTTTTTTTTTTCTTTTTTTTTTTTTTTTTCTCAGAAACTCATCTCAAGGATCTGTCTCCCACAACAGCTATCTTTATTCACCAAGAATCTGTGCATCAGGATCAGGACACCACCTTGTGCCTATGCATTGCTCATACTTTTCTTCCAAGTCCCCACTGTCCTATAGCAGAAGGTTCTGCAAAGAATAACAAGGCTCTGTTATGAAAGACCACAATAACAAAATAGCAAACCTTAAGTCCACAAGATTGGTCCTCATGCCATGGTATTGTGACAGAGAAAAGCAGATATAAATGACTGATGGCAAGAGTGAGTATAGCAGAAGACCAAATACAGTTCTGTGCTTGTCATTACCAGTTATGTCATTGTTTCAATTGAACTAACATTTCTCAAGAGACTAATTGTTATTTGACTCCCTCTTATTCACAATAGGCTGCAAGGTAGACCAGAGCTCAACACTCACTTTGTATAACCATGGGTAAAAAAAAATCCTCTCAAATTGCAGTAGGTCTGGAACATCAACAGTTGCCTCTCTGGGATGGAATTGTTCCCAGACCTTTTCCAAGTCCTGTGGGATATTTTTATTGGCTGTGATGTTCTGCTGTTTGAAAACATCAGCGAGTAAATGATTAGAGAGAGATATCTTAACACAGCTTAAGTCAAACAGAGCTTCACAGGCCTTCAAATATGGGCATATTTCATCTTGAAAATTTTCTTATTCTTTATTTTGACTGGAGGAAGAGGAAAGTAACATAACAGACACTCAGCTAGGCAAACCGAATTATGTAAATGTGTCAAGTATTTTATATCAGTCTTTCTTAATTTGATATTAGAAAAGAATATCTAAAGTGCTACCAGTAAGCAGACAGCCCCTGGGTTGGATCCATACTGTGAGGAAGTTGTTCCTTGCCTTGTGAGTGCCTAGGACAGGACTGTATAACATGCTGATCTCTAAAGAATTTGCTTATCTAGTGGGAGGTCAAGAGGAGGTGAGGAGCAAAGCGGGAGCACATACTAGCAAGTAGCTCCAGGCCATAGCCTGCTAAGCAGTACAGCCTCTTCTGGGCAACACCAGAGCTAATATGCCCTGACAGACAAAAATCAGTCCCATGCAGAGCCATGAAAGTGACTTTGTGCCAGGCATTCCTGTTATGTTATTCTCAGGCTAGCAAGTCCTGCCAGAATCAGTGCTGGGAGGTTTGTGCAGAGACAACCAAGAGGAATAGCGATGACTGTTATTGTAGTGCTGTTGCTGAGCCAGAGAGACTCATCCTGATAGTCTCCTTATAGGCAGCTGTGGATCCTAGTAATTCTTGCACTTGCAGGATTTTGCTATCAGTCAGATTTTGCAGTGCCTCAGTACCATCAACTGTGGAGAGTTGGCATCCTCTTGCATTGGTCCATCTCTCAGGGTAGTTCCCTGTGAAGAAAGAATGTTATAAAGTACAGAGAAGTCATCTATCTCTGCCACAGAGAATCTTGGCTCTTGTAGTCTACTTTCAGGGAGATTTTTACTGCTTGAAAGCCAGGGAACAGAAAAAAGAACCCAGACTCTCAATCAAATATGGAAGCTTCTAGACTTAGTTTCCTCAGGTGTATTTTCTAAGCTGAAAGAGAGTAGAAATTATACTAAACTTCTGCACATTTCTGCAGAATCTTTACTTTAGACAAAAATGTAAAAGTGATTGGTATGAAATTTAATTTGGATGATAAACACACAGTAAGAAAAAGCAAACAGTTCTAAAAAAAGGAAATGCACCAATTTTGAGAAAACAGGTTGTACATCCACCCAGATGTTCCGTACATTCCTTTCCATACGTGCACAGAAAAAGAACATAACTCATAAAAATGTAGCACTTCTACTACATTAGAAATCACAGCCTCTTCAAAAAGAAGAAGAGTGTAGTTGGAGAAGGACAATAATTATTTAGATTTCTGAATCCAGGAATTAAAGGAAAAAAATAAAAATAAAAATAAAAAAAGGATGACTTAAAGCTGAGCTTTTCATAGGAGACTACAAAAACTAGGGTTGTCAGTTCACACACACACACACAAACACACACACAAATATATATAAATCCCAAACACTTCCTAATGGCATCTATATTTATCTAAATGTAAGAAAGAGTCTTTAAATTCTGTAAGGGCAGGGATAGGACTGTTCTCTCCTCTTCATCTCTCCTCAGCCATATCATTCTGAGAATTAGCATATTAAAGTTTCTGATACTGTTTCATTCACAGTTTGAGTGGGCAGAATGAAAAATAGCAGTATGGCTACTTTAAAACATTTCCTTAATGTAGAAACATTAAGATTTTGAATATTTTTTAATTTTCAGGATTATTTTACCTGTTATGTCAGACTGAGATAGCCTTGCTCTGTGCTCTGTAAACCAGTAGCACTATCTGAGAGCAGACTAAAGTGTATTCATATGACTGTAAATGAGTATGCCTAAGCTTCTCTGAATTCAGAGACACAACTCTTTTAGGTTTATCATCCTAATAGAAGAGTCAAGTCAGCTATAAGGATCTCTGAAAAAAAATGGGCATGCTGGACAACAAATAAAATTGGATTTTGCTCTGATGTGTTAAACTCACCCACCTCTGTTCTTATATGGGAAGCATTAAGATTGTCTTGGCTTGAGGTACCAGACATGAAGAGCTGTCATAACTACACCTCTGGAAACTCTCTCTGAAAATTCAGAAAGGGATGAAAGGCAAAACCAAGTTTTAAAATTGATGAGAACACAAAAGCCTAGTAGAGGCATAGATCTGGAGATAACAAAAATAAACAATATTATATGGTGCGCCTGAATGACAAATATGTTTACTAGAACACTGCCAGAAGCAGATGCATTAAAACAGTTGGACTTTATACAGTAACTGGTATTAAGGTGACTAGGCTCATACCATGGAGCTCTTGGAAAGAAGAGCTTTAACCTTTCAGCACAGATCACTCATACTTTATGAGTGACACATACAATTTAACTGATAAATTATCTACTGAAAAATCTGAGCACTCATATTAAGGAGCTAGCTACATAGACCTTGGTCAGGAAAGAGGAACAGATTTTGGGGGGATTGCTTTTGTTTTTTAACATGAAAGAATGAAGTCATGCAAAGACAGGACTTTGGTTATGAGTTTCAACTTGCTTATTATGTACTGGGAAAGCTTTCAAGGATGAGGCAGAAATAATCCCAAGTGTCAGAATACTGAGTAGGAGGCAAGTGGCAATTTGGAGCTAAAATAAGCCATTTTTTTAGACACAGTAAGCATATTACATTGTGGATCCAAAAAAAAAAAAAAAAAGCTATTGTTGAATACTAACTTTTATTGAGTTGATAGAAGTCTTGCTCTTTATCTGAAATTGCAGCATTTGAATGCCTTACTGGAGGCTTCTGCGTCTCCCTGACTTATGCAAAATTTACTTAAAATGGGTGGAACTTGAATTTGTAATTTTCTGAGAAATGACTAGGGATACAGATTTTTTTTTTCTTCACAACTGAGAAAAAGAACTATTTCAGAAATATAAGAACATATGAAATCATGTTAAAAACTGAACTGTTTTACCACCTGAATTTTTATAGGAGTTGTTGACATCCTATCCAAGTATGGGTATATTTACTTGTACTTTGAGTCTCCAGGGCAGCCAGACTTGGATCATTTTGCATTTCCACAAGCTCTGAATGGCAGATTTCAGAATGTCACATTATATCACAAAGAATGTCAGACACAAGCCATGTTTTTGGCCACTTAGGTCTGTTCTCCCTGCCTGGAAGCAAAGCTGGGTTAGCAAATAGAAAGAAAAGGGTCTTACTCCAACATTTATTAAACAACAGAATTGACCATTGTTATTCTGGGTCAGACAGTAAAGAGGATCTTATTAAGGTGTCTTGACATTATATTGTTACAGCACTGGATGCCTAAGACTAAGAAACAGAAGCTGTTTCATAATGTAGGTACTTTGTGAGAAACCCTGTTAAACATTAGAAATGGTTGATCACTGTTATTGTCCTGACTGGGAATGGATCAGAACCAGAAAAACAGATGAGAACACAGGAAACTGGTTGATAATCCAGACCCTGCCTCAGAGCCTTGTCCCTTGCTAACCCAGTTGTCAACACCTTACAGCATCCACCAAATGGCAGCAACACCCTGCTCAGGACTACTTACATCCTTTTTTCCCCCTCCTCAGTGCCTCTCCTTGAGACTTGCTCCAGAACCTCTTCACTAAGGGTTAGAACCATTTTCTGTTTCAGTCTATTTAGGGCCAATTTTCCCCTGTTTTTATTGTTCTAAACCATCCTCTAGATTAAATATTTTATTATCTTTGTCACTATGACATTCCCAGCTGCAGCCATAAGTAGAACCATCTCACAGAAACTCTGTGAGCTGTCATCCTCTAATTCACCAACCCCATCAAGAAAGCAGTAGGGCCTGACACAACTCCAGCATCTGCTGTGGATCTCCTATTTCCTTCAGTATTCAGTGCTCCCTGCCCTGAGCATCACTGTACTGCAATACCATCCTTCCAACCTGTGCAGTTTTTGGTGCTAGACTTTCAAGCACTGACGATTTTGGGGTTGGCCTGCTTATTTCCTTCTTCAGTAAGTGTAAGCAATAGAAAGCTGTTATACCCCTGGATCCATCACCTCCTCCAATTTCCATATATTTTGTGCTATTTTTCTATTCCAAGCTGATATTCTGCCCTGAACATCAGAGGACACAGGAGTTGAGGGCAAAGTAGGAAAGTTTGGGGCCAAGACACAGAATATTATGAGATTCATTAGGCTGAAATTATGTAGGATGGGCTCCTCAGTTTAAGGCAGGAAAGCTGGCAGTGTTAATTGATTAGGAAATAATTGGATAGTCCTGCACAGTAAACTAAAATATTTACATATTAACTACAAGTTATGCAAATAGAAATAAAATGTATTTATTCTGCAACAGTAACACAGTACTCTTCAGGGGTTAGGAGCCCTCTAGGGAGTTCATGGGGATGGGGCAGCCGTTTTCAGACATGTAGTAGCAGTAAATTGCTTAAAGATGGAGATTGAATTTATACAGAGGTAGGTGCTCTGCTGATGTCCTGTACCCTTCAGGACCTCTTTCTGTCACTCATCCTTTCTGCCATTAATCCACACTCATGTCTATCTCTCCAGCTAAGACCACGAACATAGTGCTGCAGGCTACCTGTGCCATTGCCAGGATCTTGAACAAAGGTTTTCTTAAGGTCTCCCACTCAGGACTTTTAAAACTAATAAGATTGGGAAGAGGAAATCCACTGAACCTCCTCTAGAGGAAGAGCCAACAACAACAACAAAACTACCTGTAGGTTTGCATGGCCCAGTGGCATCCTGGGCCAAATACACTGCCAGTCAGGCTGTGCAGGACCTTTAGACAGTTTTCTCCCTGCTACTGATACCAGGAAGAGAACTGAAAGCCTGAACACAGCAAGAGCAGAGACCATTCACCAGACCTATAGTGTTTGAGGGATGTACTAACCCAATTTGAACAGCATAAAAGATACATGCCAATTACCAGGTATGATGAGTGATAGACTCATGTACAGTCTCAATCTAATACCTGACTTGGACCGAATCTTCCTGTCAGCTGTGGTACCTTTTATTCTGAGTGTCTTACCTGTGTATTAGTGTCAGAGGCATCAAGCCTACCACTATTTCTTTTCATTTACTTTCTCATAATACCTATCTAAATATGTAAACAGCATTGCCTGTATACCAGTCAGTCCAGACTGAGAGTAAGATTAACAACATGGATGAGGATGAATGGAATAGTTTTATGTATTTGAATTTTAGTAAGTGGAAAGCAAAATTCTATTATCTATAAAAGCTCTTATTATTATAATGTTACTTTACTTCAAAGTTACTTCAGAAAGTTGCAATAAAATAAGACACTTCCTCCTTTTCTACTTTACCTTTCTAGTACAGATTGGAAGGCTACTGGTCACTTGCAGTCATAGGATACTACAGACAATGGCAAAAAAAAAATAAATTAAAAAAAAAAACCACTGTAATTTGACAACAGATAAACAATGAATAGAAATGCCATTTACTGGCTCAAAATTATAAACAGTTATAAACAGGGAGATTCTTAGACCTTATCATTTTGCAGAATCTGTGCAAGTGTGCCTAAATGTCATCATGTCCTCATGATTTAATGTGTAACATTCTTCAATGGGGTGCACTAATCCACAAGATACAGCACCAGAAGACACATTCAGGTTAAAACTGAGAGGAAAGGTGCAAAGGGAGAGCAAAAAGTGTTGCAAGTAACCTCCTTAAAAAGCAAATTTCCGTGAAGCTGTCAATGAATTGGGAAGCTAGATTTTTGTTTTTACATGAGCAACCTTTGCACTAGCAATACTGTAAACCTGTTTCAGTTTTACTCTTGACACAGATGGCTAATCACAGGGAAAAACCTAAAATCAAAAAGACCTGAGGGAGGCAAATAATGTTAGTTTAGGTTACCAGATGAGCAAAGAGAAACAGACAAGCAGAAAAAGCTAAAGGAGAATTAATGGCAGAAGAAATGCAAGCCATTCAGAAAAGACTGCTGTTTCACTGAGAGCCTTGCCAGAGCCTTGGGGATTCCTGGTATACAGCAATGATGCAATCAGTATATGTAAGTAAACTTTGTTTCCTCACTAATCACACACTCCACTAAAAAAAGTAGCTTGGGAAAAAAAAGCCCTAGCAGCAAATTAGATTGAGGTAAATAGTGATTTTCTGTGGCTCTTTATTGGCAGAAATCCTTTTCTCCTTCAAAGGAGTGGCTACTTTTTCACCAAACCAGAGTTTCTGGAAATGATAGTTCAATGCCACAGGAGTTGACAGCTCAGTGGAAAATGATAAGAGGACTAAGGACAGTCAGAAATGGCTCACAGAGTGTCACTGTTCCTGCTCCAACCTGCCACTCTGCATTTAGATTTGTATCATCCTTAACACTAAAATTAAACTGTCAAAAAGTTTTCCAAGTGGTGCTCTTCCTTGTTACAAACTTTACAAAGAGGTCTTTTCAACTATCTAGTCACTCCTTCTCTTTCAGATTTAGGCTTAAAAATGCATTTTCTGTCTGTGAAGATATAATATACAAGCCATTTGCAACAGAATGGAGTTGAATGGTGTTTTTCAGCCTCTTTTAACCTAAGAAATCTTGTGACTCTTCTTGCATCACAACAGCTCATTTTATTGTTGGAATTATTGCTTTATAACACATTAAAAATAGAGAAAACCAAGTGTTCTTTCATGACTTTGAATTCCCCTCACTGCTTGATAGAGAAATGCACATTTAATTTAAGAAAACAAAGCTCTTCCAGTAATTTCATGGACCACGTGTCCCAAGGAGCATCAGTGGACCACCATCAGGTGGGAAGCACTGGAGGAGCAAAGTGTGAGCTATCTCTAAACCAACAGGCCAGCTTGATGGAAGCACCATTTCCCCAATAGCATGCAGTTTCTTTATGATCACATCTAGATTGCTTCTGCTACACTGTCTTCAGTCCAGCACAAAGTGCTTCTTCCCACTAACACTAGTGGGACACGCATAGTCCTAAAGTCAGATCAGGTAAAGATCAGGGCACACAACCCCCTTAGCATGTTAGCCTAAAGGAAAATATGCTTGAGTCAGAACTGCTACCTGTAAAAAGCAGCCATAATTCAGAAACTCTTTCTGCCCTTCATCTTCAACACCACACATACATACTACATACTGAGAGAAAACTTTCCTCATCACTACACTTTCTCAGCCTGGCTTCTATAACTCTGAGTGAAGTCACAAGTACCAGTTTGTAATTTCTGCTAACATGCATGCTCAGTTCAGACGAAACACCCTTTTTAACCAAATCCTTACATGGTAGTCTTAGGCCCTTTTTGTTGAAACTGCAGGAATGATTAAACTGTAATGGTGGAAGCAAGTCTGCTGTTGCTTACGTGAGCCGAGTCCTTGCTCCTGGCTGCATTGTACTTGTAGTGGGGTTTGTTAACCTCTTCTATCAACACTATTTTTACCCCAAAAATATGTTCTTAAGACAGCAAGAGAGAAAGGTTTCTGTTTGATTTTCAGGACACTCACGATGGAAAGGACACTCACTGTGTCAGAGTCCTTTCCCGATTCAATGAATGTTTAGTTATGCAGACAAGGTAGGAAAATTTCAGAAAAAATAAAATAAAATATAAAAAATGAGTTTGGTCTTCTTTGTGTGCTTCTCACAAGCACATGCCACTCTTACTTTTACTCCATATTTACTTTTAACAGAAGGCCTCTTCTACTGCAAACCTAGAGGTCAGGATCAGCCATGTCCCAGATATGTTCTGCTGAAATCTACCTATTCACTTTCATTTTTTTTTTTTTTTTGAAGCAATTTAGGTAAAATTGTGGAGAAAGAGATGCTAAACAATTAAACTGGGCTTCAAATTGGGCATAAATTACTAATTAGTTGCTACCAATAGCCATGAAAACTACTATGTTTTTATGGCCCTGTTCTAATGGCAATATCAACATTTTTTGGAAGCCACAGGATTTGCCTCACTCCAAACCTGGTCTCAGGCTGTTGGGGAGGGTGGGGAAGAAGTAGCATCTGACAAGAAAACCCAGTAAGGTTGCAAGGAGTACAAACAAGTAGGCTACACACATAATATCCTCACAAGTCTTGATTAATCAAAGAAATAAAATCTAAGATAGGCAAGACAGACAGAAATAACCACCAGAGGCTTGTGATCATAACAACAGTCATTAAACAGCATTGAATTTCAGATGTATTGTTAATGTAATGTTTTTGTCATTTTGGCTTGTTCTTGAAGCTCTGAGTAAGAAAGTGTTGGTTGGGGCTCGTGTACCACATTACAGAGGGAAACAGTAGTCACAGGGCACCCATTACACTCACCCCTATGGAAGATACAAAATCACATCTATTCTTCCAAACTAAAAATAAGTCTGACAAAACTTTAAGATGTTGCACATGTGAAGCCAAATTCTAGTTTGTGTTGTTAACATCTTTCTTGATACACTGGTCTGTGCAGATTCCTAATTACAGGCATGGCAAGACACAGAGCTCTATTTTGTGCAAACAGCTGTTTTCCAGGCACTACATTTTGCTCAGAGATGCTCTGTTTCCCCCATGATGGAACAGAATCCTGTCATACATCAGGCAAAATTGTCGCATGGAACACAATATTTCTATTTGCTCCCAATGCATCATGTTAAGAGTGATAAACACACCCATCTGTCTGACCCTAAACATGTTTTCTCAAACACTTGGACTTAATCTCTCTCTTGAGATGCATGGGTGTTAATGCCAAAAAGATTCTTCATGGTGACAGGGTTCTAGCAGCTCTTAAGGTTCCCCTTTTCACCCTCTGAGCTAAATTAGAAGGAAAACGAATGGTACTAATGTTGGTCATTCTACATGGAAGGATGGCAGATGAACTGAAGTTCATTTTGCCTACAGATGATGCTGTCTACAGGTGACTAAACACTTGCTAGATCACAGCTCATGCTTATTAAACCACGTAGCTAGTGGACCATAAAACCAAGAAAATGCTTACACTTGTTCCCATATGCCCACAGAGATATGTCTCTGGTGATGAAGAGGGGTCACAATGCAACCTATTCCCAGTGCTCTGAAATCATCTGTAAAATTCCTTTCTGCAAGGTGGTTCACTATGACAGGCTAGGCAGTAAAGCTGTGAGTGAGAGATAGGCCTTATAGCCTGCATTTCTTCCTTGACAAAAGGATAGAGCTTGTAGCCATGGCAAGAGGTCCAAGGGTAGGAGGAGGGATTCTCCACCACAGTGAAGAATCATTGCAAAGTATCATGTGCTGCCTTCTCTGTCATAGCCAGCTTCCCCCTTCCCCACTCCATTGCTCTTTTAGCTCTCTCCAGCCACTTAAAATCCCTATCACTAACATGCAGCAACTAGATGAGGCTCTTAGGAAGAAAAAGCAAGGCTGTGACTCTAAGCAGATGGAAAAGAAGGTGAAGGGCAGGAAAGAAAATTACCTTCAGCTAGTAATAAAGGCTGTGGAAAGGCAGGGGAGAAGAGTGAGGCAAAACTGAACTGGTGATGGGGGTGTATCCTCATTACTCAAGTCTCTCACTGCAGTTCTGGAAGCAAACATATAAAATCTGTTAAAGCCAGCAATGTTAAATAGCAAATGTAACATTTTGGCAGTCAGTTTCACCACCACTTGCAAACACAAAGAATGTGATAAGAAACAGAGTAAATGAGCAGTTGACGTGTGCATGTGGGATCTTTAGCCCCTGCATTCTCCTACATGAACTGCTCCCAGAGCCTCAGGGTCAGGAAGCTCAATTTCTTCAGTTCATCCTGATCCAGGAAGATCCACCAAGAATCTCAGCACAACTGTCCAGAATTCCTCTCTAAATTCAGCAGAAGTTCACTGAACTGGCGTTGCTCTGAAACACGTTCTTTTTTTGCAAGGAAGAATTTTTATTCTTGACCCAACTTCTCCATCTTTAGTAATTTTCCAATATGGTACTGTCTGTTCTCAGATAAACAGAAGAAGTAGCAAGCGATCATATTTCTCTGAGAAACACATGTTGCATTTCATGTTCATTTCTATTCTCCTCCACATACTTGGAGACATTTTTCTCTCAAGAATTGCTTTAAAACTGCAAAAACACAGACAGTATGTCCTGAAGCCACTTAAAGACCTTTTCCATTTTGTTAGCTCAAATAAACTAGGGCAAAGCAGCAGCGAATCACCTGTGCATTTTTGACTTTTCTAAGTATGGATCAGTTGGATATTTGTCTTTCTGTATTCTAACTTCAGCATTAAGACTTTCTCTATATGAGAAGTATTTTTTTGTTCTTGGGAGATTTCCTAACAACTTCTATTTTAAACATTACTAAAGCTTAAGGCAATGCAATTATCATTTAATAATTATGGTTAGTACTAACAGCACATCTGTTTGGTTTGAAATGGTTGGCTCTGCTTCAGAAAAGCTAGACATCCATTTTATAAACAACTTTGATACCACTTAAAACATCAGATGAGTAAAAAAGAAGCCATAGAGTTACACGATCACAGTTTAGAAATCTTCCACCTCAGTCTTCAAGGCTACCAAGAAGAATGTATGAAACATGAACCAAGAATTCAGGGTGTAAAACACTTCAAAAATAAGAAAATTAGGCAATATTTCTCATTTACAATTACTTTGATTTTCTGATTCATCAGACAGATTAATGAAGGGGAAGTTTCCCACTTTATCGATTTTGCTCCTGTGAAGGCAATAAGGACTTTTGTTTTAAAAGCATTGGCAAAGCAGTTTAGGAATCCTCTGGGTTTTTGATGCCAGATCCTCCCCTGACATAAAGAGGAACTAATGGCTGCAATCACCTTGCCTGCAGCAGCATCAATGTTTTTAAAGCACAAGCCTTTGGATTTTTTAAGGATCAGTGAGATTCTATTTGCAAGGAAGCAACTTATTAACAAGGATGGGGGCCTCAGGAGTGGATTGATCTTTCTCATAACTGAAACATTCTTTGCAGTACATTTCATTTCAAATTCGTATTAGGAAAAACAATTACTGACACTCGCATGCTAGAATTGATTAATTTCCTGTCCCTTCTGGCTAAAAGCTTATATCACAAAAGATTGCACAGCAGCACACCACTAGCAAGTTAAAACAGTATTTATTTATTTTGTCTCTGGAAGACACAATTTATACACAATTTCAGTGAATACTGCATCCGTTTTCTTTTTTTGCCTCCTGTTCAAAAACCAGTGAGTTGAACACTCTTCCTACTCCTTCTGTATAATGGGATCTTTCCTGGGATCTAGGCCTTTTGGCACACTTTAAGTCTTCAGATTCCTGAGGCTATCTAAAGGACAGAGCACTTTCTCAGACCCTACAGAAGAACTCTCTGGCCTCAGATCATCTACCTAAAGGGCAAGAGCTCAATTGCCCAGATTCCTTTTATATTCAGTGAGAGAGGCACCTCTAAAAAGTAGTTCAGACAAACTTCATCAAACCCATTTATTTCATATCTTCATTACAAAAGAAACCAAATGGGTCTATAGCTATGTTCTGTACTTCTAACATAGTCTATTTTATTAGACAAAGGTCTGCTTTCAATTTCTAGGGGTTTGCTATTTCATGGGGGGAATAGTGCTTACCATACACTGTCCAAATCCAATTCACACATACTTTATTTTCAATGGAAAGGAAACCCAGCCAAAAAGTGGGTAAGAGTGGGGCACCATGCTACATTCCAATAGGTGCCCAACACAACTCTCAGGGGTCACTTGCCTAGTTAACAGAAAAGTGTTAGGGGCCATCTGTGCAACAGCCTCACTTTAACCCAGCTCCTTTCTCTCTCTCTCATTTTTTTATACTTTTATTTATTTATTTATTTATTTTACCTGTCATGGCATAACACATTCCTGTTACAAATGTTTTGCTCCTGTACTAGAAAAGAGAGTTTGGGCTGGCTTTACTCACCTGCTCAAAGGTACAAGCACTGCAGGTTTCATAAAGGGCAGAAGACAGCATCGGACCCACATCATGATGCTTGATTTCAACAAAAAGCACAAAGAACGTGCTTCTCATGTTGTCACAGCCAGGACAGTGGCTCCTGGGAATAATCTCAACTTCTATCCCAGAGAGCTCTTTGAGGTGTAGCTACTATAAAAAAGTAAGTGCAATATTAACTAACAGCCTCTCCCTCTTCAGATTCTGTAGACAATGCTAAATAGTATTCTGGCAGTATTTATATTGGTCTGTTTGGGTTAATATTAGCCTAGGTATGTCTTCATTTTTGTCTACATACAAAAGACAGCAATGTACACAACTCCTATGCAGCCTTTTTTTTATTATTTTATTATTATTTATTTATTTTTATTTACAGAGAAAGGAAAATTAGCTTGTTCCTTGAAGCAGACTGTGCTTTAACTCTGCTCCAGGCTGAAGCAAACAAACTGAACCTGCTCATTATGATAGCCAAGATGCTCTTAAGAAAAGCAGCTCCTTATAACTTTGTACTGAGTAGGAAAAAAGCCCTGGAAATGGTTAAATGTCATGTTAGCTTCACATAGGGAGAGCTTTAGGAACACTATTTTCTTCAGGCACGGAATCCTTTCCAAGATACTCTGAGGACAGTTCTGGAAAACAATTTTCAAGACAACATACTTAAGTTTAAATTGAGCTCAATTAAACTAAATGGGACTTATATAGATAATGATCCACACACACTATTCAAGGGACTCCAAAGCTAATTTCTAGACTGTTCCCATAAGGAAGAAAAAAAAAAAAAAAAAAAAAAAGTATACTCACAGCTACTGAGAAGCAGGTTTGCAAATAACACGGGGGGGGGGGGACGGGAGGGGGGGGTGGGAAGCAGGCACTTGTCAGAATTCTTTTTTCAAACTTAAAAAAAAATATAAAGAAATGAATAAATGACAAAACAGTTACTCAGTTAACAGAACCAGGCCAGGATAAAAGCAAAGGGTATACAGGCTATGCAATTAGTCAGGGTCAGAGCTATGAAAATGGCCCTGCATCCTATCCAAGATTTGTAGCAAACATCAGGTTTTAGGGATCTTTTCACATTTTTATTCTCCATCTGTTTTAAAGTTTTGTTCTCTTCTGATACTAGGTTTTTAATGGAATTGGAAAGCTGTATAATTTATAAATTCCATAGTGGGCAAAAGCACAACCATAACTCTTTATTTTTAAATACAGCCACATAAAACACTTCTCAAAGGATAAAGCCCAAATTATATATCAAGTCAGTCAATCAATATACTGCAGCAGAACCTGTATAATTACTTTTTCCTGTGCTGTAATAGGGCCACATCGTGTTTTATGGGCATCATTAATTATTAAAATAGTTTCCTGCACCAGCAGGCACCTATACATAGCACCTGCTATCAGTCTTCTCAGGTCAGTCTTTCCTACTGCCTTGTGTCTATCTAGTGTCTATCCATCTAGGCCCACCAGTATTCCCCTGGGATTGTAGTCAACCTAAGCAATGTGTCTGGGCTGCCTGTTCAATCCATCTCTAACATCCCTGAGTCCTTTGCAATCAAAAACAACCCATCTACAGTTGATGATAAAGAAATACTAAGGAGTTTCAGCCATGTTTATGAATGAATACTGTTTTGCCTTCCTCCAGTTATGCAAGGTTAAGCTGCTGACACAGAAGCAATATTTATACAACAGAATGACGAGATGCACACAATTTGTTTATACAACAAAATGATGAGATGCACACAATTTATCAGAAGTGGGACCAAATTAAAACCAGTTTGTAGTAGTGGGTGCTCCACAAATAGGTATTTGCAAACACGCTAGCTGGTCATTGGGAATACTGTTGAATGTCCAGAGGCTCTTGAGTTCTTAACACCTAAGACATACGAATAACAAAGTGGAAAACTGTCTCAAGATGAGCAGTCCTTCCTTTTAGAACTCACAAAATATCAATTCACTTTCCAAATGACAGTAAAAGTATTTGGGGGTGCATTTTTTCTTAATTTTTGAAATATAAATTCACCTCTTTTGCTCTTGTAATTTATATAAATTATTTATCTTTATGTTTGACTTTTCCTTTTAAATGCCTTCTCTTTTCAGCTGCACCTGATCTTCTCTTATCTATAATGAGAGAAACAGCCTCCATTTTAAATTCTCTTTGTTTCTCATCTCTAGCTGGCTGCTTCTTATTAGAATCACAAAATGTTTTGTGGAAGGGACCTTAAGACCATGTAATTCCAACCCCCCTGCCATTGGCAGGGACACCTTCCACTAGATCAGGTTTCTCAAAGCCCCATCCAGCCTAGCCCTTAAATACTTATATCACTTCCCTCTACCTGCTGCTCACGATTCTTTTGGTGCTGCCCAGGATAAAGTTGTTTTTTTGGACTGCAAGCACACCTTACTGGATCATGTTCAGGTTTTCATCCACCAACACCCTCAAGTCCTTTGCTTCAGTGCTGCCCTCATTCCTCTGTTTTTATTTGTTCTTAGGTTTGCCCCAGCCCAGGTGCAGGACCTTGCACTTCATGAACTTCATGAAGTTCACACAGGCCCATCTCTCAAGACTGTCCAGGCCCCTCTGGATGGTATCCCTTACCTCCAGCGTGTCG